CCATCCAAGTCTTTATGGACCTTGCTTTGTGCACTGGTGCGCAGTCATATTGGAACAGGAAGGGGCCATCCCCAAACTGTTCCCGCAAAGTTGGGAGCATGAAATTGCCCAAAATGTCTTGGTATGCTGATGCCTTAAGAGTTCCCTTCACTGCAACTAAGGGGCCAAACCGAACCCCTGAAAAACAATCCCACACCATAATCCCCCCTCTACCAAACTTTACACTTGGCACAATGCAGTCAGGCAGTCAAGTACCGTTCTCTTGGCAACAGCCAAACCCAGAGTTGTTGTGCCAATCTGAAGGCCACACGAAGTTTGCAGGTCTGTAGCTATTGACTGCAGACAGTTGGCGACTTCTGTGCACTGTGTGCTTCAGCATGCCCTAACCCCGCTCCTACCACTTCGTGGATGAGTTGCTGTTGTTCCCAGCTGTTGCTTCCACTTTGTTATAATACCACTAACAGTTGACCGTAGAATATTTAGCAGCAAGGAAATTTCACGTATGGCACCATGCTTGAATTCACCGAGCTCCTGAGAGCGACCCATTCTTTCACAAATGTTTGTAGAAGCAGTCTGCCTAGGTGCTTGATTTTATAAACCTGTGGCCATGGAGGTGATTGGAACACCTGAATCCAATTATTTGGAGGGGTTGTCCCAATACAGTGTAACTTTCAGCATTGATGGTGCCTTTCCAGATGTGCAAGCTGCCTATTCCATACTGCACTCCCATAGTATTTGCAGGCTTTTGAACAGAGAGTTGACAACAAGCCAGAAGGTCCCTCTCTCGCCCATGGTTGCCAAAAAGAATGTAAAATTTCTATTAGTCTGACCACAGAACAGTTCTCCACTTTGTGACAGACCGTTTTAAATGAGCTTAGGCCTAGAGAAGATGGTGGCATTTCTGGATCATGTTCAGATATGGCTTCTTCTTTGCAGGATAGTTACATAGTTAGTCAGGTTGAAAAATGACACATGTCCATCGAGTTCAACCTATAGAGATACGGAGAAAAAAAAAAGAGAGAAGAAAAGCCTAAACAGAACGCTATGCCCACAGTTACCCCCTATTGATCCAGAGGAAGGTAAACAAAACCCTATAAAGCACGGTTCAATTAGCTCCAAAAGGGGAAAAAAAATTCCTTCCCGATCCCATAAGGCAATCGGATATTCCCTGGATCAACAATTTCCGATGCTTAATATACCTATAAGAACTCAATATCCAGTAATATTCTGTGCATTTAAGAATACATCCAGAAGTTTTTTTTTAAAACAATTAACTGAGCTAGCTAGAACTAGTTCCTGGGGGGAGTCTATTCCACATTTTCACAGCTCAAACTGTGAAGAAGAGCTTTAACTTGCATTTTTGGATGGCAAGGCAAAGTGTGTATTCCTGAGCCAGGAATCTTGCCCGTTTCAGACTGGTCCTTTGCACATAGAGCTTTCTCCAGATTTTCTGAATCTTTTGATATTATGTACTCGATATTATGTGATATTATTTACCACAAGGCAAACAAGGCGTTTGCCTAGGGCGGCACTTTCCTGGGGGGCGGCCCTAGGCAAACGCCTTGTGCCGCAAACGTCTGTCTGACAGCCTGTTTGTAAAAGCTGAAGCTCGGTTTAAGGCACGAGCCTGCTTGTGGTGGAGAGGGGGGAGGGCGGGAGCAAGCTTGTGGTGGAGAGGGGGGAGAGCGGGAGCCTGCTTGTGATGGAGAGGGGGGGAGAGAGGGAGCCGGGCACAGAAGCAGACGGGAGGGTGAGCCCAGCAGTGAACAGCAGGCAGCCGGCCAGAGAATCAATGATGCTGCACTGAGGTCCGGAGGAAGTGACACGCGGTGATGGGAGGGGCTGCAGGTTTTCCAGTCGGCCGGCAGGACTCGGTGACACATGGCTGCTCCGCTCTGCACACAGGGACACTTTAAGGGGGCGCCTGTGAGGTAAGTGGATAGACGGAGGGTGAGCACAGTACTGAGTTTGCTCCATGTGTGAATTACATGGAGTGGGTTCAGGCATAGCAGTGTGCTGTTGTATTGCATCGTGTTTGCATTGTATTTGGGAAATGTGACATGGCCTCCTCCTAGTTAGAGAGGAATGGAGGCAGACAGTGATGGTCAGTATGTGGTGGTCAGTATGTGGATACTTTACTCCCTCAGGGCTTGTTCACACCAATTGCACTGCTTTTCAGAACGCACCACAATCACTCACTTCGTTCTGAAGTCAATGTAACCTCAGCCACACTTCCCCCGCCTGCAGTGCGATAGGGCGCGTGGCAAAACTTTGCCTGCGTTCTATTCCACTGCAAATGCAAAAAATGCTGCATGCTCTACTTTTTGCATATGCAGTGGAACGGAACGCAGGCAAAGTTTTGCCACATGTCCGATCGCACTGCAGGCGCGCTTACATTGACTTCAATGCACCGTCACACCCCCTCCCGCCCCAGAACGAAGGCGGAAATTTGTGAGCGATTGTGGTGCGTTCTAGAACGCAACACAATTGGTGTGAACAAGCCCTTAGGGGTGCATAGAAGCCTAGTGATCGTCCAGAGATGAGCAATTTCTACTTCTCATATACAGTGAAGGAAATTTATCAAAATCTGGAGCAGATGTGCACAGCAACCAATCAGCTTCTCTCTTTCATTATCAAATCTTAACTGAACAAATTGAAAAAGCGATGCTGATTGGTTGCCATGCACAGCTGCTCCAGATTTTGTCTGCTCCCTTTTTGATAAATTCCCTTCAGTATGTTACCACTGACACCAATAAACGTCTCAGCTATCTCCGCCATACAGTTTTGTTCAATCTACTTTAGATTTGCCCACACTGTATCATTTTGTATGTTATCTGCCAGGCCCTTCCTATACATGGAAGTTTGTAGATCTAGAGGAGTTCAGTCAAATTGTAAAGTGTGTGGGGAGCTTAAACTGACCTTGAAGTCGAAAATCCCCTCCCCAATGTTAGTGTAAGCACTTACCTTTTAATGATGCCTCTTGATCCGATCTTCTTCTTTACTGTAGTTTTCCGCTGTCCCTCCAGCGCTGGTGATGGCCTATGATCTAGCGCTTTCTGCTGTGTCTTCTCTGTCCCATGTCCCACGCTGTCTGTCCGTGTGCATTGACTTACCCTGTGTCTCTTTTCTCCCGGCTGACGATCTCTACTGCGCATGCGCCCGCCCCATGAGCCTTTGCGGCTGCCCGAGACACAGGTGAGTTTTAACCTTTGTTACTTTAAAAAAAAAAATGTTTTGCATATATCTACTTGCTAGCAGTAGATATACAGTATGCAAAAAAATGCAAGGTTTAAATTGTCCTTTAAGGGCAACTTTCCACTGACCAGCCATGTAAGGAGCATTCTTCACACTGACCACCAGAATAATGGCGCCGGTCTATAGCGACCACCAACCTCTGCACTCTGTTACGTACTCCTGATCCCTGTGCTGCCCTGACAACAATATATACTGCTCTGCCAGGCTGATGCCAGCCCAGCCGGTCAGTTCTGAATGATAGGTTTAGCAGCCTCCCCTTTCCGATGCTGGCAGAAGTGATACAGCCATTACTATTTAAACAGATGCTCGACATATTCAGCTTCTAACAGGTTATGCTAAATGTTTTAAATAGGAAGGGGGATCTCGTCTAGGGCAGCACAAAACCTAAATACACCACTGTATGCACTGTAGATGATGATATATCATCTACATATTGTCTTTGCAATTTTATATTGCGGAACATTATTCTGAAATTGTTAAGACAATTTTTAGACACAGCTTTTCAGATTGGTGAACTTCTGCCCATCTTTACTTCTGAGACACTCTGAGCCTGCAAGTTTATGCGCAAAAAAACGCCTCGGTGTGAATGAGGCCCGACTCTCTAAGATGCTCTTTATACCCAACCATGTTACTGACCTGTTGCCAATTAACCTAAATAGTTGCAAAATGTTCTTCCAGCTCTTCCTTGTTGGTACCACTTACTTTGCTAGCTTTTTGTTGTCCTGTCCCAATGTTTTTTGAGATGTTTTGCTGCCATCAATTTCAAAATGACCTTATTTTTTTTCTTAAAATGGTACATTTTCTCAGTATAAACATTTGATATGTTTTGTATGAGATTTGCAAATCATTGCATTTTTAGGGAGATTTTGCACAGTGTCCCATCTTTTTTTGTAACTGGGGTTGTAAAACACTACAGAATTTCACTTCCCTTCAAGATAGCTGCAACACCTTGCTGGTTTCAGGTGTGAGGAAGCAACACTGTAGGACCAGATGAGGGTTTTCTCCACTGGCTAAATGCATGTTTCAGGACACTTTATACACCTCTGCTAATGATAGAGTAATATTTGATCAATACCATTAACCTGCGACTTATGATTTCCTTTTTAACAGGGTAATTAGGCTTAAACGTTTGCCTCCCCACAATCTGCATATGAGTTAAAATGTAGGAATTAACTTTCCCTCTTGTTCACAGGAATACCAGCTTATACAAGCACATCAATGTAAATACACCAACGAATTCAAAATTAAAACAGAGTCTGTAGTTGAGTTTATTAAGGAGATGGGGCAATATAAATTATTCAATATACACAAAGAACTATGGCTACATTAAAACAAGGAAAAATATACAGAATATTAATTTGGACATAAAAACAGTCAAATACTTGAAGGTGCATTGCTTGCGTGGGTGATTAGGATGCATCCCAGAATGATTGCAACTGAGCCACAAAAGGTTCATACTTGACTTAAGTCAAAAAGTTGAAAGTAATAAAGGCATCAGTGTACTTTATGTGTGTTAAGGTCAGAACTGAACAATATTGCAACAAGAGCAGCCGAAATACATATCCACTAATAAGGGAAACCGCCACTGAGCTAAGTACAACATTGATTTGCTGGTTTGTTATACAGTATACGGACAACATGTACCAAAAGGTTATAAAGCAATGCATTAAGCCAACATATTCAGTCCACCTGAACAAAAATTGCTCTTTATGCCCATGTCTGTAATAACATATGTTGCCTCTTTATTCATTGGTGTACAACTATGCAACCAGCACTAACTTAGGACTGAGGAAATCCCCACACAAACAAACATTCAAAACTCATTGTCCCTTCAACATGATTTGAATAAATCACCATAAAGTGTAACAGTTGAGGCAGGACTTAACTTCCAAGTACGTTACCACCTCAACCGACTTTCTTTTCCCACATGGGTTTGGGCTTAGAGAAAGTAGACAGATCTTGTGGACGGACAAATTGCAATGAACATGGATGAGAAATGCCCTACTGGTGAAGATGTGCTCTGTCATCTGGCCTTTTGATGTGGATGCGCCTAACTCTCTCAATGCGATCCCGTTCATCATCATCATCTAGGTGATGGGAACGACCTGCTGCTCCTCCCGTGGCTTCCAACAGAGCATTGTCTGGTCCCCGTCCATCTTGTGCCTCATATAGCAGAATGTTAAGAGTCTCTTCATAGATCCTGGCCTCTGGAAACTCCACCTGAACCAGGACATGAATGGTTAATATCAATGTATTCTTATACCCAGGCACTAAAATCACATATGAGCTTTAACACATTAACTAAAATAAAGTGTGATCATTCTGCCATGAAGTCCATGTCCAGGTTCTTCTTGTTATAGGGTGACAATGCTCTGACCCTGTCTCCTAATTGTGCCCCAGTGTTGTAACACGAATGGACTTCCAATGGAGGCTACAAGAGGCTATTCTAAATACAGATTACACAGACATGGTCAACTGCTGTCACCATCTTGAAACTCATTCTGAGAAATGCCATGCAACTACGGTAGATCACTAGAAAGTATGCAGATCCAGCAGCACTGAAATGGAATAATGAAAAAAAGATGGGAACAAGTTCTTTTTTTATTGTAGTTAAGATACACTGTGCTTTAGCAAGCTAAAAGCCATCCAGTTAGCCTTTATAGCTACTTTAAAAGAGGAAAAATGTTTTTATGTGTTCTGGAGATATTTGAAATCTCTAGTATGACTCATGTTCACAGAGAGAATTCAATTGGTCTAGAAAATGCACTAAATACAAACAATTCAGTCCTCTCCCTGACTATGCTTCGGTCTGGTATCCAGCATGACAGTATTGAGTCATGCTGGTTTATACACTGCCTGGCCAAAAAAAGGTCACCACCTGCATTTAGCTAAGCAAATAGGTAATATGTTCCTTACGTTGGTCAGGTCTAGGTTCAGCAACGTTAGGTCTCCCAAAAAAAAAAGGTCACCTGACTATCTGAATATACTGATTGACCAGGTTTTTCCATCAATGGATTTTTTTCTTCCCTGATGGCACATTGAGCATATACCAAGATGGCAATGCCAAGATTAATCTGCCTCAGGCATCATTTTCACACATGGATTGGTCACCGAATCCAGACCTTAACCCCATTGAGAATCTTTGGGATGTGCTGGAGAAGACTTTACACAGTGGTCTGACCTTCCCATCATCACTACAAGATCTTGGTGAAAAATGAATGCAACTCTGGATGGAAATAAATGTTATGACATCACCTAAGCTTATGGAAACAATGACATGGTAAATGCATGCCGTAACCTAGGCTAAAGGCAGTCCAACAAACTATTGGAGTGTGTGACATTTTTTTTTGGCCAGGCAGTGTATTTTGTAAAGTAACATTTGTAAAGTTTATAAAGCATCACTATCAACCTAGAATTGTCTAGGTTTTGATTTAGTGACTTCTTAAATTATATTTATTCTGATATTCACTTTTTATTCAAAAGCACAAAAAAAACTGAGAATTTAAAAACAGTACAAATATATCAAGTGGAAATATCAGTTGGGAATGACATAGCAAACAAAGAGCCTGTTTATGATCATCCTGAAGGAGCTCCCACACAGACAGCTTTTTGGGCATCATCAAAATGACTAAAAAGCTGCTAGCCAGGTATAAAATTGCCACTTCCTGGTAGTGATGGAGCTTGCCTACCACCTCTCACTTCACACACACATCTCTCTGTTGGGGGGGACAAGTTCCAAAAAAGAATAAGAGTTTCTGCTAGGATTGTTCAGATACCAGTGCCGATACTCTTCATTTTCATGAGAACTACTGTTGTGGAAATTTTACTAGGATGTGTTTTTAGTGTATTGTAATGTTTTGTCATTTGTCTCTCAGTGTCTCGGTTTAAATAAGCACTGGGGGGTTAAACCATTGGAGTAGATATCTTATGCGCGGCGGAGCAGTGTCTTCTTGGCGAATGTATGGACGCCGGCTGGGGCCCCCCGTGCAATGCATGGATTTATTGGCTTGCGTGGATACATTTGTTTGGAACGCAGTATATGAAAGGAACGTGCGTTTGTTGTCCCTGGTGAGTCTGATCAACCACTAGAGATAATATAACGTTGTCCCTGTGAATACGTGTGCATGAGAATCATAGTAACGTTATGTGGCATTGATCACTGAGCAATGCTGGATAAAGTCACCTCGGTGGTAATAGATTATTCTACTACATGTGTTTTGTAGACTAGCTATGTATTGAGGAAGTGCTTGTTAACATCACTTCCTGGTTTGCTGGTTTTTTAAATCGTTTGCTGGTTGTTGACATCACTTCCTGTCTTGCCCCACTTCCTGTCTTGCTATAACTTCCTGTCTTGCTATCACTTCCTGTCTCGCTGTTTGAGACATCCCTTCCTGTCTGACATCACTTCCTGTTGGGCAGGTATAAAACAATAAACATACCTGTGCTCTGGCTCTAAGCATGGGATTATCAAGCAAGCAACACATGTCTCCTGACTCTACATGACTCTGAAAGGGATACTTCCAGTCCTTGCACAAAAGAGCGTAGTACAACGGGGGAAATTCTTTGCGTTTGGCGCAGCTTAATGCGACATGGATTTGTGCGTTGAACCAAGCGAATTTCCATAACACTACCATGGAAGCAGCTTGGACCTAGTTCTGGCGCTCCACCACTGTCCTGAAATCATTAGTCTTTATTGTTTTAGAAAAACTGTCACATGACAACAATAATGTACCGTGTTTCCCCGAAAATAAGACAGTGTCTTATATTTTTTTTTCTACGAAAAAAGACACTAGGTCTTATGTTCGGGGGATGTCTTACCTGGCTGCAGTTGTCCGCTCTGCCGTCCAGGGAGCCAGGCGTGCGGGCGGGAGCTGCGGCTAGCGCTCTCATGCCATCCAGGGAGTTGCTCTGGGTGACTGTCATGCCTGGCGGGGGGGAGCTGCGGCTAGCACTATCTTCAGGGATGTCTGTAATATGAGATCTACCACCAAACTAGGTCTTATTTTCGGGGTAGGTCTTATATTACAGAAATCCCTGAAGATAGTGCTAGGTCTTATTTTGGGGGTAGGTCTTACTTTTGGGGAAACACGGTATCAGTACTTGTATCTTTGAGTACTTGGACAAGTACCAGTACTCGTACTCGCAAAACTGGTATCTGTGCATCCCTTTATTTATAAAAAACTAAAATCATACATTATAACAGAGATGTACAAATCCCAGGAGCTCCGTGTGCTCCTTACAAATCACAGCTGCCTCCTAACTTTTGAAATTTTCTCTGGTCTAGTCTTGGAGCTGGAAAAGTATCTGTACATGTACCGAGTACGGTACTTGGTATCTGAACATCCCTAGTTTCTGCCTTTATTTTGAAATTTCTCTGATCTGCTACCTGCTCTTGGTCAATGAATCTGAACGTACTGAAACCTGTTTAACATCTAGGCAGCTAGCATTTTCAGAGAGGTAAGCAATGACAGCTTCCATATTACTCTTAGGAAAGGTTTACTTTAAAAAAATAAGTAAAATTTGGTCCAACATACTTGAAAGAACATCCGCTAGGGGTGTTCAACCATTGAAAACAGAGTTTAATCAGTTATTAAAGTTTATATCTACAGAGAACAAGAGGTCAAAAAAAAGTGACAGAAGCAAGGTTTGGAAGAAATCAGAACACTGCCAGGCTTGTTTAAATGGTTGCAGTTTATTTTTTTTAAAGCAGTGTTTTAAGCGGTTTGTACCAACTATCATTTGGTAATTTTTTTATCCTGTAAATAAAACACAAAAATAAAGCCACCTATAACTGCCTATACTGTTTACTTGCATGTAATTTGAAAAAAATGCCACTATACCTTGGTTTGCTTTTTCTCTGTTGCATATACAATGGATGTGCAGCACACCTCTGCAATTTTTCGACCTTGACCATAGAATGACCAGCAGCAGATCTCATCTCCAATTACGTCTTTAATAAATAAAACCCTCCCATTAAATCGTAAAGACAACTTATCAAACAGCTCAATGTTCTTCAGCATGTTGTCATCAGAATTGCTGAAAAAAAGATATAATTCAGGATTAATCATGTGATCATGCTGAAGAGAAAGAAATTAAAATTCAAATAATTGGTTTGCTGACTGGAAACCTACAGCAGAAAAGACTGGTTAATATAAAAAACAGAAAAGCCTTGTAACACATTTTTTAGAGATAGAATAGAGACTATATGACTGATGAGATCTACTTTACACTTTCATCTTATAAAAAGGACAAAGCGGCATCTGTCCCAATTAGCACCAAACAATTTCTTCTTTCCTGTAGACAAAGTGGCAGATTCTGAACACACAGCAGGGTAGAGGCAAGTGCATGGGCCAAAGGCCACAATGCCAGCAAAGCACATCTTTTTAATATACCATTTTGCACAATCACTAGGCATTTAATGAATAATAGCAAACAGTCATAGTGATGTGAATAGAAAGAAAAAAAAAAAAAAGATATCTATTTATACCGGAAGAATTACCTTCTTCCAGTTGATTAAAATTTCAAAAGATTCAACACTTTGGCAGACATCAAGGGCTGCAACAACCAATTGATTATAATGGATAATAAAAATCGTTGACAACGATTCTCATCCTCGATTAGTTGCTTTACAATTAGTTGTCACTGTTCTGCTCCTCCGTTCTCCCCCCCGCTGGTGCTGGCTGCAGCGGTCCGAGTCCCTTTCAATCTCCGGTGCTCTCCCCCGCCTGTGTTGGCAGAGGCAGCGGGGACACAGACCACTGCAGCCGCCACCAGCAGGAAGGAGAGACCGCTGTGACTGCACTCCGCCACTGCCCCCCTCTCGTACCCTGCTGCCGCCACCGTGTATCCTCTTCCCCAGCCCGTTTCTCCTCAGCCCTGCCCCACCTCTGCTCCATTCCGACTCTACCCCTAGTGCCACCGCACCTTCTCTGCATCTAGAGGCTGGGAGCCATACCCAGCCTGCTATTGGATATTTTAAAATGCAATAGCAGGCTCCCTATTGCACCTGCCCACTGACAATCAGCAGAGGAGGACCTAATGGAGAACTTTCTTCTTCAGGTCCTTCTGCTGATTGACAGCAGGCAGTGGGCGGGTGCAATAGTCAGTCTGCTATTGGCTATTGCAATTTGAAATATCCAATAGCAGGCGGGCTATTGCTCTCAGCAATAAACCTAAAAAAAGAAAAAAGGTTTAAATAAATAAAAGCTAAATACACTAACATGCAAA